TCTTATTTTTTTTTTATTTTTTCTTTCTCTCTCTCTTTCCACACATTTCTTTATTATTTTTTTCTCATCTTCTACTATTCATCTCTTCTACTTTTACATTTTTTTTTAGTATTCTTCTTTCTCTTTCCTTCCACGCAATATATAGGTATTAAATTACAACAACATTGGTATTGTCCTACTACATTACATATATCATTTTTGTAAACAAATATTTACAGTATATATTCATTTTTATTCATATAATTCGGTATTAAATGACAATATATAAGTACTGAGTTATTACAACAGTGGTACTGTCCTATTCCAATATAGGTATCAGTTTTGTAACTCACCAAAACAAACTATTATGAATCTAGTGTGATGCACGGGTAATAGATATTCAGTAATACTTACATACTAAAAATTTTCACTAAATATATTTATAAATAAAAAATATGAAATCAATATGTAATACTCCCCCTATATTAAGTTATTTAAAATATTATATGAAATTTAAATTGTGCAAAAGTATATAACATATGTCTATTTAAAATTAGTTCACAACTCATATAATGTACATAACTGATAATAAGTTACATTATTTCATTTCAAAATAAGTGTCATTCTAAAATTTTTACTCAAAATTCAATTTGAATACAATGTGGTTCCATAAAATAAATATTTTGGTAGATTTTTATCATATATTTAAAAATATATGTGAATAATAAGTATAATATTGAAACTTATATCTTTTCATTAATTAATATAAATTTATTTTTGTATAAACTATCCAAATAAAAAAAATCTATTTTACTAATCTTTATTTCATGTAAATCTATATTACACTAATCTCACGATTTTTAAGGTTTGTTGTATGTTACTCTGTCGTTCAAATTTATCATCTAATTCTCTATAATTAAATTATAAATTTTACTAAAAACTGTTTATTCAAAGATCTATCTAATTTTCAACATGAATATATTTATTAACTAGTACGATACCCGTGTACTATACAGGTACTTAAAATATACTATTATTTGTACATAAGAAATTTTAAAATAATTTTTTTATTGTAAAATTATGTATAAAAAATATAAAAATAATGAATAACTAACAAAGTAGTAATTAATTCAAAATGGGGTCCGTATTTTTTCACTTAATTTTCTTATTTTATTTAAATTCTATTATAAAATGCAGTATAATGATTATTTTATGGTGTATTACTGAATTAAATTTTTATTATATTTATTATAAAATAATTTATGTTGTATTCATGTTTTTGAAATTATTTTTTTAATAAATATAGTTTTATTTATAATGATAGATGTAATTAATTTTTATTTTTTTATATGCAATATGGATGTGAAATCGAAGATCATTAAAATATGATTATTAATGCAAGTGTGAGCGTCTTGGCCCGGTTTGGGGTAAATCGGTTCTTGTCCTCGCCGGTAGAACGCCGAAAACCTGCAAACAACTCTCACACCGGGGGTTGTGTCCGGTGAAGAGCCTCCGATGCTTAAGTCAGTACGTGTATGAGTATACTGAAGTGAATAATGGAAAAATCGTGTTAAGGGAGAAAGTCTTACCCCCTTTATATAGGGGTGAGATACCTGCCCTAATAGCTGCCCGGATAAGGATGAGTTGGCTGCCCAAGTTGCCCGTCCGTACTCTGACATGCCGCGCACATGTCAGAGGTGGCGCGGGGCGTTGGGAGCTGTCAGAGGTGGTTATCGCTATCACCCAATACATTCTCGACACGTGTCCTCCTGCACATGGGGTAAATATTCTCCTGGAATTCAGTTGGAGGCTCTTACACGCGCCTGTGACTAGGCCGATCTGTTGAGTGTTGAGTCCGCGAGATGCTCGACCTGCTGAGGTCGATAAGATTGCTCGATCGTTTGTTTGGTCGAGCGATGGATTGGTCGACTGTTTGACTGGTCGACAAGTTATTTTGCTCGATCTTTTCCTCGCCTGGCTCGATTCTTTCATGGTATGACCCCCTAAACCGGTTCAGCGGACCGATTTATCTTGGAGTATATAATATCCTATATCATCTAGTCCCCCCACTCTGGTCGAGTCTAAATGACTCGATCTAAGAGTGAATTTCTACTTCCTCGACCTCCTGGGTGGCGTGGTGCCAAATATCGACCCTCTGATGGGTTTCTCGCTTAATTTTTGAATAATGCCTCATTAATTGCTAGAAATAAAGTCTTCCGTCACACGCCCTTTCTGTCGCATCTGCTTTTTTGCCACGTGTCCCGCTTGTCAGGTACTTATCTGGTGTTTTAATGATAATGCCTCCTCGCATAACGCGCCCACTTTGAGTGCCGTGCTAATTAATGTTGCCCACCGTACGATTTGGCTTTAATCCAACAGTCTTCATCTTCCCGACTCTTCCCCTTTCTAAGTATAAATTCAGTACTTCGCGGATTTTCTGAGTTTTTCCACCTTTGCAATTTCGAACTCTCCTGTGCTCAAACATCCCTTTTGCAAGAACCCTAATTTTTCCTTGCGATCTCCCCCGCGATCTTTGAGTTCCTCCACATCTCTCATTATGCGATTATGAGTAAGTCGCTTCTCACCTGATTCTACGTTTCCAGTATCTGAAATTTTGTTTTCAAATTTTCGAATTGGGTATCTTGAGGTTTGCTGATTGAGAATCTTGAATTTGTGTGTTGGGTGTCGGTATTCGCTTGTCAATCACTTGTGAATTTTCGTCCTCTCCTTTTGAAATTCTCCCGGAACCCCTGTTCTCCTTCTTCGATTTCTCCAAAATATACCTTTTCGTAGAACCCTAATTTTGAAAACCTTCTCTTCTTTCCTCTTTTCTTTTTTGTCCAGATTCCTCTTTTTAATTTTGTTCCTTTCTTTTTTGTTTTCAAATCCTGCTACCTTGACCACCTCCTCGGATTCGGTTGAGATCTTGCCTTCCGAGGTCGTTCCTCTTTCGATTCTTTATCCCGGCGAGACCGTCCCAACTATCGTTTTTACTGCCCGTCGCTTCTTCCAACTTCGGAGATACTATGGATAACATTCCTCTCTGCCGCCGTCGACCTTCTCTCGGCGCGTTAGACGAGCCAGAGGAGGGCGAGACCCTTTCTCCTCCACCCACTGTTCCCGCATCTTCGACCATTCTACCTTCTTCCTCCACACCTGGACCTTCGAACTCTCCTCCAAAACGATCTTCGACCAAGAAACCTTCCAAGCGTCCATCTTCTACTTCTCTCTCCCACCCTTGGTTCAAACCTGAAAAAATCGGCCAACCTCTTGGTTGGGCGTTCTTTAGGTCTTCTTCTTTTGACAACTACGATCATCCTCCGCAGGATTGTTATACTTTTTTCGAGATTCAGTTCAAACTCGGTCTCCGCTTCCCCTTAAGTCCCAAGCTGCCTCGCATTTGCGAGTGGTTCTCGCTTCCCCTACATCAACTTCCTCCTAATGCTATCCGTTTCATGAACACCTTCATTATTCTCTGTCACGTCCGTTTAGGTCGATTCGACCTAGATTTCTTCCACTATTGCTATACCCCATCTAAACAAGGTCTTTAGGCCTTTATTTGAAGAGCCGCAACGGCGTCCATTTTATTAATGACATTCCTTCTAATCTTCCCAAGTGAAGCGATAAATTCATTTTTGTTCGGACTGATGTCCCTTTTTCTTGGCTCTCGATCCCTTGGGTCAGGGAAGTTTTACAAGAGGCGTCTTCGGCCCCTCCTCCAAATCCTCTTTTCGACCAACGGGTCCATACTTGGAATTCTAAGACCGTTGTTGGAACCCACGAGGATCTCGATATGCACAAATCACAGACAAACATTCAACATAAACCTATGCGCAGCGGATCTAAAGGTTTGATGAAGAAAACAGCTTAAAAATTATGTAGATCTGGCTGGCCCAGACAGTTGACCGCAAATCAAATCTTCTCGGAAAAGAACAAACTTGACCAATCCAGAAAGCTGACGTCACGGCGAAGTCAACGACGTTGACCG